CTAGAAAACTATTTTTTACATTATAAACTTTAATTAGACAATTTTTATGATGTCGAAATGGAAAATGAATGAAAATTTTTTTAATTTATTTTTTTTTGGCAAATATTTGAAACGAATTTATCAACAAGATTCATTTTTCTTCTTTTCTGGACATAAATTATGTAGAAATTGTCCGAATGTTCTGTATGTCCGAGCACTTTCGGCTATAATTTTTTGCTATTATCAAGGATGATTTTATTTTTACTTTCATCTGAAAGTTTGGATAGTTGTGTTTTTTTTTTATTTTCAGAACACGTTCAGCACATATATTTGGAAAATAAAACTTTCATATAAATCTTCATATATACATAAAAAATTCGATATATTCAGTTAAAAGTAAAAATAAAACCATCCTTGATGGCTAAAAGTATAGCCGAATGCACTCAAGATTAAAAAACATTCGGACAATTTCTCCATAATTTATGTCCAGAAAAGAAGAAAATTATAAGTTCACAATAGAAATTACACAAAAAAATAAACTTAACTGCAGTACCCCGTCAGTCAAAGTTTTAGAAAAGAGATTGCTGTCCAAATACGCAATTATATATATATATATATATATATATATATATATATATATATAATATCCTGCTTCTATCTCCTTCTATCTATCTATCTATCTATCTATCTATCTATCTATCTATCACTTCACGTTTCTATCTTCTTTTACCTATCTATCAAGTTGATTTTATCTATCTATATCTATCTGTACATAATGTAGGAAACTAGATTCTATCTATCTATCTATCTATCTATCACATTCAGTTAATTATCTATATATTAAGTTCATTATTTCCATTTTGTACGTGACTAGCTTCTTTCTTTAGCTCTTTCTGTTTATCTATCTATCTACTATATATATATATATATATATATATATATATATATATATATATATATATATATGCAATATATGATATAAAATAATATATTGTAAAGGAGTCTGACAACAGCTGCGCCTAAAAGGTATAAACTGCATTCTAGTGAGTTCGTAAGTACATACACGCGCGCGCACGGACACAAACACACACACACATACACGCATATATATATATATATATATAATTAATTTAAAGCCTGTTTTTGAATCCCAAATTGCTGGTTCTTCAGTGGTTTTCTGATAAGGAGGCATTTAAACAGGCAGGTGCTCAATATCAAAGATGGAGATAGAGCATTATTTGAAAAATTATTACGAAAAGTTTTTTTTTTTACTTAATTCATGTTTACTTCAAAGTTTCAGTTAAGGGAAATTATATATATATATATATATATATATATATATATATATATATATATATATATATATATATATATATATATATTATATTTTATCAAAATAGTTTTGCAAACTTTGGGGGTAGCGAATTCATAACCAAAACAAGGATAAAAGTTCATTATATATATATATATATATATATATATATATATATATATATATATATATATATATATATATATATATATATATATATATATATATATATATATATATATATATATATATATATATATATATATATATATATATATATATATATATATATATGCAAATCGTTTGTTTTTGAGTTTAAGTTTGTGGTAGACGCTGTTAAATGTACAATCCAAGACACAATCCAAAAATACTTTTACAAACTTTGAGGACGGATTCCTGACACTAAAACAAGATAAAATGTCCGTATAAACATATATCCAAAAGGCCAGGCACCTCGGCGTGGTGTAATGGTTAGCAAGCTTGTCTCGCTAGATCAGTTACAACTGAAAAGTGAGTTCGATCCTCACTAGATGCCCCATACTTTCCGCCTTGTGCCACATCTAAGCTACGCTTGGAAAATAACTATATCCAAAAGGCCATCGTTGTACATCCACACAACAACTTATAACAAATGTTCAAAATGTCCTCCACTTGCTTCAACAAGTGCATGTAACCGTCGGATCATTGACTGGCGGACCCTTTCAAATACTCCCATACGGTGTCGAATGCTGTCGCAGGCCCCCACAACACGTTGATGAAGCGTCTCTGCATCATTAATGTCTGCTGCATAAACGAATTGTGTTAGGTAGTATTACAGATAAAAACAAAAAGGGATTGAGGTTGGGGGTACGTGCAGGCCATGGAACTGGTCCTCCCCCCTACCTATTCATCCTTCATGGTACATGTCATCCAGTGCATGAAACCCCATCATACATGAACCACAAGCGCCATCGTTTTATCAGGGGTACATCCTCTAGCAGATGTGGGCATAAAGTCCCTGTAAACACCTCCTTAAGTCGTGCTAAGAGAACATATGTATCTACTAGACAGTCACCTATAATTCCAGCCCACACATTAATCTTAAACTGGTGCTGGTGTCTAGCCTGTACCATAAGAAATCCGATCCGCCCCAAAAATGGTTGGTTGTGTAAATTTGTTATTCCATCTCTTCCAAATGTCCCCTTATTCGTAAACAAGACTGAAGAGACAAGCAAAGCAGTTTGTGCAGCAAAGTAGTTTGTGCAGCAAACCACCGTCAAAAGTTCTTCCGTGGCGAGTGGTCAGAGGACGAAAGACTTTGCTCAGGTTGCAAATAATACGGATACAAGAGCTGCTTTTGAAGTACCCTCCATTCTGTACTATGAGATGTACAACATGCTAAAGCTAATTGACGTGTGCAGATATCTGGGCCATCACCGACAGCCTGTAAAATGTGTTCTTCGTTGTCAGGTGTACGAGCGTACGAATATATCTTAGCCTTCCATGTGGGGCCACGGAGCCTGTCTCAAGAAACGCGACGATAAACAGCAGCAAAGTTTGGATGACTCGGCTGCTTTCTGCCTGGAAACACAATCAGATACAGCCGTGTAACCTCGTGTCCATTACAATACGCGCGACCGTATGTAAATATCATATCTGCCAGTTCAGGATAGGAAAATGCTGCCATTCTTAAACGAAAGACTTCTCACTTAACTCACTACTAAGCACGTTAAAGGTTGAAGATAGACTAGCCAGAAATGTACACGAATGACAAATGTAACTTAGTCTACATGACCACACAGTGCCACCGATCATAAACCTTTTTTTTTTTAACTTAATAACTCGAAAATAAAGTACATATGTTTATATCGACTTTTCTCCTTGTTTTGGTGAGAGGAACACTCCCCCAAGTTTTTAAAAGTATTTTTGATACACTCGATATATATATATATATATATATATATATAAAGAAATATAGTCTTAAGGTTTGCTATATTTATGGAATAAAGTGCTCAATATCAGAGATAGAGCGTGTAAATATAAAAGTGAACATAAAGTCAACACTATAGGGCGACAGTCTGTTTCATATATATGCAATCGTCAGGCCACTGCATATAGCATGAAACAGACTATCACTTTTGTATATATATATATATATATATATACTGAAAGAGTTATGAATTCTGGTTGATGTTTGTTCATACGGTCCGATTTTATGAGGTTAGTTAGGCCGAGAACCTTTCGGCATTTTCTTTTGTATCTATATGTATATCATTCACTACACATAATCCGAGCGGTCAAAGTAGGCCGGGTCGGCTGGTGGTTTCTACGGCAAAGGAGGACGCTGGTTCGAATCCTATTAGAGGACCATTTTCTGTATTAAGTTTTCTCGCATGCCCAGTTCCTTAGACGATATAAAATCTGTTTAAAGACAGCGTACTACTATTCAAATACGGCTATCCACTCAAAACAACGTCTGAAGTAATAAAAATATGTCGGATTAAATAATTAATACTATTTATTCGTTAGAAATTATATATATAAACATGGTCCCACTGTACTGAGCTCGGCCTACAACCCCAAATCAGACCAAACATCAGAGCATATTTTTAATATCTTCTTGCTCATACCAAGAACTCTTGGAAAGAAAGAAAGTAACGACAGGATTTTTTTATGAACAGTGAGCTGAGGAGAGAATATACAATGGAGCTTATTTGGGCACCTCGAGGCAGTGTAATGGTTAGCAAGCTTGTCTCACTAGAACAATTACGACTGAGTAGTCAGTTTGATCATCACTGGGTACCCCCCACTCCTTTCGGTCTTGTGTCACACCTAAGCTACGCTTGGAAAATCACTACAATGGAGCTTATGATGAGAGTATATACAATGAGAAGAGTATATACGATGGATCCGGACATGTGTCAGCCGAGCCGGGGATTTTCAAAGGCTGGAGCCAGAGCTGGTCAATCCCTCACCAGGCAGTGCTTTTCATTCAGGAGGGGGATGGGGTCATTAACCGGTCTTTTCTTATCAAAGGAGAAGTCTTGAGAGAGCTTCATCATTTTTTTTGTACGGTTGTTTCGAAATCCCACATTAAACTTATGTCACATTTTGTGCGACATGGATAAATCTTTACAGGGGGAGCTTATTTCTTACTACTGACATAGGTTACTTATTCAGATTAAGCTTACATATAGTTAAACAAAATCTTTACAATGTCAAAAACCCGTATATACCTTTATTTATCAACTGTTGTGCCGCGCATATTGTAGCAAACCAGGTTCATTCCCTTCGTATTCCATTGGTGACATGTTGTAAATCCTACTGAAGCAGCTTCTTCTCACGAACCGTTGATTTGTGGAACAGACTCCCAAGAGGATGCTCCCCCAATCACTACAATCTTAACCTGATGCTGGAAGAAATGCTTGGTTTCCTGTACCGCTCAAGTAAGTACCTGACTCCTGGTATCGTCAACCTTTACGAGAGACAGATCAGGTCAAAAATGGAATAATGTTACCTTATATGACCAGGAGCTACCCAGTCTTCCCATTCCTGTCTCAATAGTGTCCAAAAGCGTCTCTGCGTCCTTGTGGGTGATAAATTATTTTCAACCCTATAACCCCTTTGTCAAACGTCGCAAGCCTCTATTTTTTTCTGTCACTATTTCCATGCTTAGCTTTAACCTTTACGGCTGAGACTCGCCACACATTGTAGTGAACCACCTTCATTA